AATTATAAAAATTATAAGTCTGAAAAATAACCAACTTTAAAACTAATTTAATGAAGTTTAAAAATGAACTATAAGTATCTAAAAATAATACGTGAAGTCCCCAAAATAAAATCAGTAAAATGTAAATCATTCACATCATCACACATTAACAGCCTTTAAAGGTCAACTGCTGGACTTAGGGCTCTTCTTAGAAAGGAGATTTTGACCTACTATAACCACGCTGGCCAGACGGCTTAGTATAGGGTTTGTATTAAGTTTTCCTTCTCTTTGCAGAGCTGTTGGCTCGATTAGTCAGCTTTTAGGACACCCACGGCATGAATAGAGGTGGTAACACTCCCTATTTTTAATCGGCATCCCATGGTTACACCACACATAATTAATCATTGTTGTAACTCAAATAAAACCGTAATTCTTATGAACACTGAAATCTGAAACCGAAAAGCCTAAGTATTTTCTTTTATATTCAAGATTCACTCCTTTTTAACAGTCATAGTCATAGTAAATTGGCGGCTATTGTGAACAACTATACAAAATGTCTAACACAACGGACTATACCCATTTGGACTGGTCCAGTCCAGTCTTGTAACCCAACATCTTGCGATCAGAGATAGTCGCAGCTATCGACTCACTAAAAGCTAAGAAAGCACCAGGTTCAGATCAAATCACAGCTAAAATGCTTAAATTCCTGGGTGAAAAGGGGGTTGACATATTGCAATATATCTATAACGACTCTACCGATCATCCTTCCACTACACAAAAAAGCTTCGGCCAAAAAATGCGACAATTATCGCACACTCGCTCTAATTTCTCATGCAAGCAAGGTCTTGCTGTATATCATTAATAACCGAGTCCGCTACTACCTTAACTGGCAGATCCCGCAAGAGCAGACTGGCTTTGTAAAGGGAAAAGGCACTCGTAAGCAAATACTTAATGTCAAGCAGATTGTGGAGAAATGCTACGAATTCAACACACCGGTTATTTATGTTTTGTTGTTTATTTTTCTTAACTACACAATTATTTAAATGTAGGCAAACCTTAAACCACTGGAGTTTATATGACATGCCACAATATGCAAAATCAATTCAATACATAACAATTAATAAGTAAATAACATAAGTAATTAAAAAACCAACATTAACTTAATAGTATTAATAGGGTAGAATACAAAAAGATAATATTGACGAGCGGGCGGACACTTTTATTTCCGTGCATAGAAAGTGAAACAGGTTTCGCACAGGGAATCTACAGGCTGTTCACGAAATGTGTTTTCAATTTTTGTTTTAGATTTACTTTTGTTATTCTTTGTTTAAAGAAAGGATTTAAATTATTTATTAGGCGGGGAATATACTTGATGGTTCTTTCGCCGTAAACATTCACTGCACGGACTGTCTCAAATCTTTCATTGGTTTTTTGACGAGTTTGAATGTTATGGGATATTTCATTATGTAAAGAGCCATTAAAAAAGTGTTTTTTAAGTAGACCAAAAGTGATCTTTAAATGGAAAGCAAGTGTCTTTCAGAATTTACATAATTCCATTTCATTCTCACTAAATTGTTCTTTTTTATTTGGTGAGACAATATTTTTTAGTACTCCTTCCTAAAAGGCGTTTTGTGGCTCCTGGTAAAAAAAAAACTGGTCTGAAATATAAAAAAACTGGTCTGAAGTTCATAGATACGATTGAGGTAAGATGTAAAAGTTATGCCGTAGCTTATGATACCATATCCTATACTCGTAATTGAGTCGACGAGGGTATTATAAGCAAAATCTTTAACCTGAAAGTTATTCTTTAAAAAAAATATATAGCTTGGCCAGGAGCGCTTTGAACTGATCACATACTCGGTTGACTTGAGGTAGCCAGTTAGTAGTTGTAGTTGGGTGTTTCACTACTAATTCAATAGATGGACAGTGGCAAATACTGCTGTTTTTGTGTAGGCAAAGATGTTCATGAGTCACCGGCCTAGCGCTTTCCAGTAGCGCTGAACCAGTCCATTGTCATGGCACCATTTGCTGATGTTTAATAGATCTGCTTGCATTTTATTTATGCTCAGGCTTAGTTTTTTTGGATAAAGGGATCACGAACAATCATGCAAGAGCTGATTCCGTCACATCCCACAGCATTGGAACGAATTCACAGGATAATCTTTTAATGTCCTTAAAAGATGCCGGAGAAAAGTAAAAGGATTTAATATTAGGACGGGTAAGACTAGCGATATAGCTTAAGGTTTGACTCTTAGTTTGATGATCCAACTGAGTTGTAGTTGAAAAATGACGGTTGATGTCGTCTAAATCAATTGTCACCTTATACTCATGGCGTTGTAGCTTGCCAATGCCAAGTATCCCAAGGAACTTCTACACACTGGAAGTTGGAGAGGTTTCTATATTTTGAATTATGTGGCGGTGTTTTGCGTTACGTATCACCTGGTTATACCGATTTCCAGCATCCTTAAAAAGGTTCCACTTCTCCTCATAGCGATCCTTTCTGTACCCATTGAAACAACGGTCTCTCCGTCTCATAGTCATTCAAATTTCTTCCGTCATCCATGGAGCCTGGGGGCGCTTTAATTTAACTTTCCTCACAGGTGAGTGGATATCATACAGATTAAGAACTGCTTTATTAAAAATGCTGACTTTGTTGTTCATGTCTGTAGCTGCCGCTAAGTTTGTCCAGTCTAATGCAGATGCACCTGCACATATGTACTTTTTTGACGTCCATCCGTCCGAAACTACGAATATGTAGAAATTTAGGTCCCGATTTTGGATTTGGGTTTACCTCATCTGGGTGGGCAGACGAGCAGACAGGTCACCTTATGGAAAGCGACCATCGCCGCCCATGAACGTCTGCAACTCAGGAGTCACAAACGCGTTGCCGGCCTTTTAGGAAGGAGTATGTTCTTTTCTTGAAGGTTTGAAGGTCGTATCGGTTCGGAAATACCGCAGACGATAACTCGTTCCACAGATTGGTTGTGCGGGACAAAAAGTGTCTTGAAAACCGCACAGTAGTGGAGCGCCAACTAGCGAACGAAACCATTCAGATTCGAAAAAAGAGTCCTACAGGGCTGCACCCTTTCACCTATCCTCTTCAGTATCTACGGTGAATATATAATGAGGTGTACCTGCGATGGCTTGGGCGGAGGCATCACAATCGGTTGTAATTTGCGATATGCAGACTGTGACTGACAGAGATGATCACCTATTTGGATAGGAGGGAATGCATTAGCACTACACTGGGTCTCTCGATAAACAGGTCTAAGACCAAGATCATGGTCATGGGAATCACAGGGAATCTTGGCTTAGAGGTAGTTGACAACTTTGTATATACTTGTAGAAGCTCGTGCAAAAACGAACAATCGGAATGGCAAAGGGGTCCATGGCGCAACTTTATGGGAGCAAGAGCAATCTCGTACGCACTCTAGTGTTCTCCATATTCTTGTACGGCACGGAGACGCGGACTCTGAAGAAGGCTGATCGTGAACGTATTGATGCATTCGAGATGTGGTGCTGGCGAAAGATGCTAGGTATTCCCTGGACTGCAACGACTCAACGTGTCAATCCTGCAAGAACTCAAGATACAAACAAGGCTTTCTACAATATTCCATGCGTAGAGTTCTTTAATACTCCAGCCACATAGCCAGAAAGGATGACAGCAACTTGGAGAAGTTAATGGTCACTGGCAAAGTGGATGAAAAAAGAGCACGAGGTATAAGCTCGACTTGTAGAAATGACCAGATCCGCACTACTCTCAACGGTGGTATTTACGATGCTCTACACTCGGCGGCAGTAGTAGTAGTAAACTTGAATTACATTGGACTTTACTCATATAAATAATCAAAAATAAATACCCATTGTAGGTCAAATTCATATAACTATTATTGCCTAACTTCGCAAAGTCATAAATACCAACCCATTTTCATAAATAATTTTAATTAAAAGGAAAATGTCACGAACATGCCTAAATACCCATAAAATGTCTTTTGAACATTAAAAACAAACAAGTAGGCATTGGTATTATGAAATATTATAAATGTTTCATATGAAATAAAGATAAAAACAATAAACAGCATTTAATGGACAGAAATATAAACACATAATAGATTTATTTTATAAATAGAGTTATTAAATAACTTTTAAGGCATATTTAGGTGCATGATGATGAATTATAATAAATGATACTTCTCATTTTTTTATTTTCCGCTCTTAGGGTGGCATATTTTCTTAAACTTTGAATAGGAACAACAAAAAGGTAATTTTCTTAATCGGCTTAAAAGTTCTTTTTTTCTGCTTTTTTTCTCAAATTATACAGAATATGCTAATGAAAAATATGTTTCAGCGATAAAAAATCGTAAAAAATGCGGGTGGTACCTATAAAGGTAAAACCTGACGTATAGGTACCAGCTACCTTCCAGTGACACTGGGTTTTTTTCATACAGATAAACATAGTTTCATTATGATTTGTCCTGTACAAGTTGTGAATCAATTTTACACAGTTTATGTTATTGTTGATTGGCTTATAAATGACAGAGTTTTGAGGTAATAAACATAAAAAAATGAAATGAGAATCTCCACCTTTTTTAAAGTTGTCTAAAAATTATTCTCACTAGGTATTAGAAATGAGATCACGATAGATAGGGAAGCGTGTTAATCTTCTGTACTAAATTTTTGCATATTATGATAGAAATGTAAAATGTATGAGTATACCTGCATGAAGAATGCAATTACATTGCGGTCAATACCATTAAACGTTTTTGTTCTCCTGCTATCACTGGTTACATAGCACAAATACCAATAGCCGTTATTATTATTATTAGGTCAGGCACCTCTATTCTTTCTTCAAGTAACAAAAACCTCAAAATATAATACCTAAAACATGAAAACCAAAGAACCTCAATATGAGAAATAAGCTTTTTAAAAAGTTGCTTAGACTTTCTTACATCAATCTTACCCAAAAAAACTTTGGCGAAATTATTAAAACTTTAACGATGACCAGTTATCACCTTTTACAGGAACCCGACAGAGAGCGTAGTAATATCGAACTACGATTACGGAAGTACTAAGAAGAAAGGCAACATTATCTCCAGAAACAGTGCTGATGGGGTCACCATCATGACCATTCGGGACAGCAACGACTTTCTTGCTGGAGACATCAATGAAAAATGTATAAACAGATAGAGGTTTCTCCGATTTCAACAATAGAATTATTGTTGCAAATTGACGATTTCATATGAGCTGTTTTTTACATTTTCTTTAAAAGTTTATGGTTTTTTTATTGTAAAGTGTGAGAACGCGATGTAATTAATTGTGAAGTCTGGAGAGAAAAATATTTTAAGTTTAAGGGTAAATATCATTGTGTATATGACTATATTCTTATAGGACTCTGTAAGTTGTATATTTTTGTATTGTGTAACAATTTGTGTGTAAAGGGCTAAAATTAAGATTGATGTTGATTCAATTTTGAATGTATAAATGTTATGTGGTTGTTAACTGTCAAACAACAGCATATTCATTATAACCTAAAAAGAAGCCTATGTTTAGGTTATAATGAAGTTTTGGCCCATTATACCACGCCGGCCAGACGGGTTGGTATTGAGTTTGTGTTCAGTATTTCTTCACCACATAAATGACTGCTGTAATAAAAAGATATTTATTATATATCTGTTTAGAAGATATTCCTTTGTATCAGTGATGATACAATAGTCGTACCCTATCGATCTATAGATCTATCAGCAACTGTTGTAGCCGCTTTTCTTCTCAGGCGGACTACTCACCGGCTGACCCAGTGGAGAGATCTATGAGATTACCTCAGGGCGCCTTCTAAGAGAAAAGAAGTGTGTGCGTGTGGGAAACCTACGGGACTCTTTAGAGGAAAACAACTTACACCTCAGTCATACATACATGTATATTTCAACACAAAATTAAATTTACAATAAAAAAAAAAATCAGAGGGTATAAAAAAAAACCGCAGCGGAGCGCGTCAGAGCCGAGCTGATGGTGCTCGGTGCCTCCTCGTCGTCCCTCCAGGAGGTTGCTTCCTCTTCCGCCCGAGTCGGCTATTTATATTAGATATGGACAAAAGCTTTAACAATTGGTAATCATAAGTCCAAGTACGTAACTCCCGGGTACGGCCGTCCGCTTGCGTCGTGAGCCGCGCAATCACCAGCCTTGCCAGAGGGTACCAAGAAACTTGAGTCTGTACCAGAAGGCCACAAAAGAGCAAGCACGCCGTCTAAGACTGACCGTCTTGAGCCCGAAATCTGGGACCCTACGAATGGATTAGCACTCATATAATTAAACAGGTTCCAGAAACAAATAGGTTTAAGTAGAATTAAGAACATACTCACCACTTTAGTGTGGGTACTTTTGAACAGATAATATATTAAGAAAATCAAATCACACAGCAATCAAAACACTATATAAGATCGGAAGGCACGAGATAGCAGTGTCTCCCGTGGCAGAAAGCCGGACTTATATATCTTCGGTTAACGAAGCTTCCAGAAAATAACCCCTCTTCAACATTTTACTTTGACATTTAACATCAGTGAACACAGAAGATCAAAACTGTAGTTATAAACTACCTTAGATAAATTAAAAACAATGCAACGCGGCTAATAGATGTAGCTTTTAACAAGACCAACAAATGTACAAAAAAATAACTGTTACACCACCCCCTCCCTCAAAGTATTCCCTGCGTAGCATGCGCAGGGAATATCATCACCAGGGTCAACCCAAGAAATGCAAAATAAATTATATAGCTCGCGCTGACCACACTAATTGTGAGCAATATGAAATCCAAACAAAACAATAACTACCAAAAAAAACAAAGTCAAAAGGCCTTCACCCAATACTACAGAGGTGTTACCCTATTTACTACCCGAATCACTGTATGGTTCTCACATAAGTGAACACCATAGAGTGAGCAGGTGTGTGGCAAAGAGAGACCGTGCGACGCGAAGTGTGCAATCTCACATACGAGTAGAGACGGAACTGACATAGGTGGGAGAAGGATCAGAAGGTTGTTCCTTTTCACTATACTTCAAAATGTCCTTAATGTGATATACTCCCAGATCCTTACCATCCAAATCCGACAGTTCATAGACCAAAGGAGAGCGTTTGGCGGTGACAATGCATTTCATAAATTTAGGCGCTAACTTCGCCGTAAAGTTCTTAGCCTTGTTAGATAGATAGAATGTCCTCTTATAAACGATCTGTCCCACTTTCAATTCCACATGCCTTTTTCTGAGATTGTAGTATTTCTCGTTACGCCGGTGAGCAATATCTAAGTAATTCCTCACCTGGTCGTATATCCGATGTAGTTCCTTCAATCTCTCACCAAAGGACACTGGACTGTCAATGGAAACAGAATTGGGATGGGCAGGAATCTCCGTCTGTCTATAAAGAACTCCATCCCCTATGAATTCCCTACCGTGAACAAGAAAATAGGGACTGAAACGAGTGGCTTCGCTGACAGCAGTGTTTAGGGCACACTGGAGTTCCACGAGATTCTCGTCCCATTTCTTGTGATGTGACTTCACGTAGCAGGAAATTCCCTGAACCACGTTGCGTATAGCTCGCTCTGCCTGGTTGGTCTGCGCGTGATATCGAGGATTATAATAAATGTTAGGCACATTGTACTTAACCAACAAGTCCCTAAACGGTTTGCTAACAAACTGTGGGCCATTATCCATATAAATGGTTTTACAAACCCCGTGGATTAAGAAAACATTCTTTTCTATGAATCTCGCGACAGCAACGCCTGTTGCTATCCGTATAGGACACAACATGACATATTTACTGAAATAGTCCGAGACCACAATTAAATGAACGTTTCCCTTGCTGGAAGTAGGGAATGGACCCAGCAGGTCACACGAGATGGCCTCAAAGGGTCTAGACACCCGTTTCGGATTCCCCATTAGGCCGGGACGAGTAGTGTTCACAGGTTTGTACTGCTTACAAGTCTCACACTTGTCTACATATTCCTTGACACTCTCGTACATCTTAGGCCAGTAATAGTAGAGGGCCAAACGTTTATGGGTTTTCCAAACACCCCCATGGGCACTCATGACGTCGTCATGGTACTTGGTGAGCAGGGATAACCTGTCTTCCAGCGGCACCACCAGCTTCCACTCAAAATCAGAAGTCAGAGAGTATTTCTGTTTTGATAGCCTGTATAAACAGTTATTCCGTATATCAAAGTTGGGGAAGTGCTGAGGGTTCTTCTTCACCCTGTCTAGAGTGTGGAGGTACCAAGAGTCCCTAGTAACGCTGGTGCCTATTGTGTCAATCTGAATTCGAGACAGAGCATCGGGTACCACATGGTCTTTACCTTTTCGATGCTCTATATCGACGTCAAACTGGCTCAACCTCATGCTCCAGCGCGCCAGGCGACCTGTCGGATTCTTAAGTTTACGGAACCACAACAGCGAGGCGTGGTCCGTAACTACGGTGCATTTCTGGCCTTCCACGTACTGCCTGAACTGTTCCAGAGCAAAGATCACCGCTAGGAGTTCTCGCTCAGTGGTGCTGTAGTTGACTTCGTTTTTGTTAAGAGAACGACTACAATACGCGATAGGGTGTTCCACTCCCTCATGTGTCTGCGTGAGTACAGCAGCCACAGAGAAAGATGACGCGTCACTGAGAATCCTAAAAGGCAATGAGTAGTCAGGCATTTTCAAAATAGGAGCGGAGACCAAAGCGGCCTTCAACAGGTTGAAAGACTCTTCAGCCTCACGCGTCCACTCAAATGATACATTCTTAGAAGTTAATTTACATAAGGGTTTACTAATCTTAGAAAAATTGTTTACGAAACGCCTATACCACCCAGCCATGCCCAGGAATCTTTTCACCTCCTTAGCATTGGAAGGTGTAGGATAGTTGAGAATGACATCAACTTTACCTGGGTCTGTCCGCAGGCCATGCTTGTCAACATAGTACCCGAGGTATTTCAATTCGCTACGACAGAAATGCGATTTTTGCATGTTGATCGTGAGACCCGCATCCTTAAGGCGCTGATAGACTCTATGTAAGAGGTCCACATGCTCCTCAAAGGTGCTGGCCACAATGATTATGTCATCCTGAAATGCGAATACCCTATTGTCGAACTCGGGACCAAATAGGCGGTCCATGAGGCGTTGCATCGAAGCTGAAGCTCCGATGAGACCGAAACACATAACGTTGTACTGAAAGAGACCTCTTCTTGGGACAGTGAAGGCGGTCTTCTCGGCGGATTGAGGCGAGTCAAAAGGAATCTGCCAATACGCCGCACTTAAATCAATGGAAGTCAAATACCTTGCATTATTGAGATGGTCTAAGATTTGGTTGATATACGGCAATGGATACGCATCGCTCTTAGATACAGAATTGAGCTTACGAGAGTCAAGGCACAATCTTAGGTCACCATTCGCTTTCTCCACCATCACCACTGGTGAGTTCCACGCGGACTGAGATGGGGTCACTACTCCCATCTCCAACATCCGGTCCAGTTCCTCTTCCAAGGCTTTCTGTTTCAGGGGAGAGAGCGGATAGTACCTTTGCTTGATTGGCTTACTGTCTCCTGTGTCTATGACATGATGCACCAGAGATGTTCGACCTAAACCAACCTTGTCCGTGTTGATCGTATCAAACTTCTCAATGATGCAGTTAATTACCCGCTTCTGATCGGCGGTCAAATTGTTGTAATCCTCTAGACCACTGTTAAGAGACAGAGCCTCCACAGGATTACAGTCGCTAAAGTTGGAAAGATTGATATTCTGAGAGATCAGTCTATTCCCCAATTGAAACTGTTGCCAGAAGTCTACACCAAATATCATGGCAGTAGTAATCTCTGGAACAACATAAAACTTAATAACTCTGACAGCAGAATTATATTCAATAGGCAAAGAAATACAGCCCAGACATGGCAAATATGAGCCGTCTGCTGTAGTTAGGTTAAAGTTAGGGCTGATGCTTTCAAGCTCAAACCCTAATTCAAAAAAAATGTGGTGCGCTCCCTTACCCAACACAGAGCAAGCTGCACCCGAATCAAGTAACCCTAGAACATTTAAGTTCAGGATCTTAACTACTAAATACGGTCTTATATCATTATCCCGTTTGGTAAACAGGACCCTATCAGAGAGATCATCAGACAGAGAAACTCGCTCCGACTCGACTGGTGATCTTTTAACAAGGCCCTGACT